TTCATTAAGCCATTATTAACCGACAACATTATGTTAAATTACAATTAAATGAAATTTGATTTGATACGTGGCTGTGACCCAATAAAAACACATACATTTGTTTTCCTGGGATTAATTTTATACACACAAAAAGCAGCATAAACAACAGAACGTGAGGATTCACATGGTCACGCACCTGCAGCACTTCTGTGAACAGAGAAAAACATAATAAAGCTATATATAAAATAAATAAATAGGCCTATATGCGAAATATATTTTTCTCAATAATAAATTAACAAAACGAAATAAAGAAAAACTGTGCAACAATAAGCAGCCTAAATGCAGAATTTCGGCTTATTTTTGTGATGCGCTCTTGAGAAAGCGGCATCCTGTTTGTTTCCTTTATTTTACAAAATCACAATGTTTTGTTTTTATTGTGAATGTACACAAATAAAGGCAAACCTTTTACAATTCCGATTATCTTTATGACTAAAAGGAGCAGTTGCTTCCACTGTTAGAAGGAAAAAATTCAAGTGATTGATTGCGCCGGCGCCACATGTTAAGACACAGTTAAGCATTGCTACCTTGACAATGCAGCCTGTTCATTATCATAATAAAACAGTCAGTCAAACATATGGAAAAAACACACTGCTCAGTTTAAAGATGTAGTAAAATCCGTGCCGTTAAGCGTTATCACCGTACCGCCGTGATGTTATGCAAAACATTTAGTTTTACGTGGATATTGGAACGCGAGTGAAGCCTAGGCTACATAATAAATAATAATTTGCCATTCAAATACATCACGAATACGAAAACATTTGATTTTGTGTCGAATGAGAGACCCAACGTTGGTTTCTGTTTCGTTTTAGCCTAAATTAATTAGTTTTGGCTTGTCGTTTATATTGCTATAGCTTCTTATGTTTTTAATTCTTGTTCTTTTCTAAATACTGTTAATTGAAACATTTCGATTAGGCCTATTTCTGAATGAAATAATAAAATGCGACTTATACGCGACTTGTTTTTATTTTTTATTTCAAAAAAATAAAATAAAAATTGTATATACGCATATTTTTGTATATAGCGTATTTTAACCATGCAGCAAACCTTTTTAAATATTTTGATAAATTACTG